ATACGTGCAAATGAAGTGACTCTTGGTTAGGGCCCCTAAATAGCCTCAGGACAGGGAGTGGTGGCCAAAGGAACCAGTCCTAGGATTAGAGGGTTTGAATTTGCCACTGGATAACCAAACAGTAAACAGGAGGAAATGTCTCTGTAAAGGTGTGTCAGCTAGTGACTGAAGAAGGAATAACAAAATCAGAATATCTGCATTTTCAGTGCCTAATGGATTTGCAAATGTCATTTGTTTTTATCTGTGGACCTTAAACATTTTTTAATCCAAAAATGGATTCACAAGTAACTCTTTGGTTAATTACATGTGTGTTCAAGTTCTGATCGAGGTTCTTGGCAGGGATTTGTAATGGTTGAATTAATAATCAGGTAGTCCTCCTGACTTAACTCTGAGTCATTGCCGAGAAATTGCATTCTCCAAATTACCTGTCTATAAAACAGATAATGTGTACCCACTTCTTAGAGTTTCTCAGGTTTTCTGCTTATTAAATCAAGTGCTAGATATCTATAAAAATGGTCTAAAAACTGTACAAGGAAAACTCGCAGAATGTGCTTTAGAGATGCCAATTATTTTTTAATCAGTGTCTTGGGGAAGCATACTAACTACTCCAAACCTCTAATTATCCTTGTTCTTGGTTTGTAATCGGGAAAGCAGCCTGAAAGTGGGGACACTCCTGTGTTTGTCGATTTGCTGTAGTAGGATATCAGTTTGCTTTATGCATTTCTGAACGCTGCAGGCTGAGACTATTGAAGGAAAGCCGTCTTTCTTCATAGTTTCCTAATACAGTAGTTGCAATGGGGAAACTTCTGGGGGCTCTGTTTGTAGTTTGAACCACTGGGGCTTGGGGATTTTAGTTGCAGTTCCTCATGTCTAGAATTTACTTCCTCTCGGTGGTTTGTGCAAACCCATCTCACCTTCCAGCCTATCACGGATTGGTTTGATTTCTTCATTTTAAGAAGTGTTTCCTTCACTGGTATATAGAGGGTTTTTTGTTTTTGTTTTTTAAAGCACAATGCTTTGGACTGATCAAAAGAAAAATTTAATAAATACTGTTAAAAGTGGTACAGCTGTAAACATTCGGCAGTAATTTGTAGAGGCTTTTCCGTGGCTCTGGTGGACACGGAGGTTGAGTAGACCTCACATGAATGGAAGAAACCCAGAGTATAGGAGAGCAGACACCCCTGCAGTGTCTTAACAGAAATAAGTACGTTATCGAGGTAGGGCAAAACTCCTTGTAACTAGTTATTTTTAGCAGGAGTCTGACTTTTCATGCCTACCTGATGACTCACAGAAGACAGTTTTGTGAATTAGATAACTTGAGTTGGCCTTCAGGCAGTTCTGATCAAATATTACAATAAATAGATGGTATGTGATTATAAACGATTACGGGTGAAAAAAGAGGGGAAAAGTAATTTACCCGCTTGTGGAGTTTGGAGGAGAGCCTCAGAAGTATGAACTTTTGATCAGCAATGATGGACTTTGGTTCAGAGTACTTAGGTTAAGCTGTTTTTAAGAATTAAAAGGTAACCCCCTTGAGGCAAAATGATGTGGTAGCCAGGCAAGCGAGGGGGACTTATTCTCACCACCCCTGAACCCAGAGTCTGGCCCTGCCGCTCTCCCACTTTGTGTTTTGGGCTTATCTTTATCCTCATGTGTGATGTGGAGCTGGTCGAATTCCCTCAGAGATGGTGTGACGATTGAATGGAATATTGTATTTTATCGAATCTCAGATACGATGGATTATGACACATCCTTATTTTTATGCCATTAAGAAAGAAGAAATGCCAGTGTAAACCAGCTTTCTTTCGTGTGCACAATGCCCCTGGCATCTAGGCATGTTAAGATGTGGTTGGACAAAAACTGCATCTTAAAAAATCAATAAAATATAGTGTATATGAAAGTGCTTTGCTGCATACGCCTCAGGAGTCATATTTGTTATTATATGTCCGGGGAGTGCAGCAAAGTTGTAAGAGTAAATACCAGTGGGAAGTGGGGGCCCCGCAGGATGAGAGGACAGGTAGCTGCAAGGAGAGAGGAAGTGCCCTCCTTCTGGGTCTCCATTCACAGAGAGTTGGCTCTCGGGGGCGTCTCCTGCACTTAGCTGTCCGCATGCATGCAGGTGTCTGGTTAGGGAGGTCTTGCTCTCCGAGACAGTGGACTTTGAGAGGAATCGCCAAGTTACTTTCTGTGTCTGAAGTATGGATTTTCCTCTCTTTCAGATTTTCATTGGTTTAGAACTTGCAGAACCTGAACAGATTGGTTAACTCGTGTTATTTTTTTTTTTTTTAAATTTTAATTTGTTAACATAGATCATATTGTGGTGTAATTTTTTTTTTTTAATGTTTTTATTTATTTCTAGGAGAGAGAGAGACAGCGTGAGCAGGGGAGGGTCAGAGAGAGAGGGAGTCACAGACTGAAACAGGCTCCAGGCTCTGAGCTGGCAGCCAGCACAGAGCCCGACGCGGGGCTCGAACCCACGAACCGCGAGATCATGACCTAAGCGAAAGTCGGACGCTTAACCGACTAAGCCACCCAGGCGCCCCTAACTCGTGTTATTTTTAAGTGCAGACTTGAGCAAGGCGTCAGCCAGCCTGAGCCCCATGTGGAATAACACGGGTTTCAGCCTTGTCCCTTCACAGAGGGACTTCTTGTTACTGGAAAGTGGTTTAGTTCTGTGACAGTTGATTTCAGACTCCTCTGCTCTTCGCTGAGGTCATTTTATATTCAAGAGCCTGTTTTGCTCACATGGGAGTTTGGGCCAGTGTTTGTGTTCTTCAGGTGCTGCAGGTTCACCTCAGAAAAATGGTGACACTGTTCCTTAACTCGTGTCCGTGCTTTCCCCTTGGTGCACTGGGACATTGAACTTACATGTTGTATGTCAGTTAAAGCTCAAAAAAGTGGGCGGGGGCGGGGTAGTTTACTTCTTACTCAAACACTGTGGGGTGAAACTTAATAATTTGCCCTAACAAAGAAGAGCTTCAAAGTAGCTCTGGTTGAATAAGATGTTTTCCTGATAATTCTTGGCTGGAAGTAAAGTTGCATTTTGTTTTGTTTTGAAAAACAGTCTTTTAAAGATGTAAAATTCATTCTAGGGGCGCCTGGGTGGCTCATTTGGTTGAGCATCTGACTTCAGCTCAGGTCACAATCTCAACGGTTCTTGAGTTCGAGCCCCACGATGGGCTCTGTGCTGACAACTCAGAGCCTGGAGCCTTCTTCAGATTCTGTGTCTCCCTCTGTCTCTGATCCTCCCCTGCTCATTCTGTCTCTTTCTCTCAAAAATAAATAAAGAAAAATTTTTTTAATCTTTTATTCATTTTTGAGAGAAACAGAACGTGAGTAGGGGAGGGGCAGAGACAGAGGGAGACACAGAATCTGAAGACAGGCTCCAGGCTCTGAGCTGTCAGCACAGAACCTGACGTGAGGCTCCAACCCATGAACCACGTGATCATGACCTGAGCCGAAGTCAGATGCTTAGCCGACTGAGCCACCCAGGTGCCCCAAAAAACTTTTGTTAAAAAAAGATGTAAAAGTCATTCTAAGCTGGAGTCCTCTCTCCCTGCCCCTGCTCCCATGCAAAACACAGGCCTCATGGTGTAGTTTGCAGACCTCTGCTCAAGTAGAAAGCTCTTACTGTGACCAAGGGTCCTTGGAGAAGTGGCTGACTCTAAAGCTGGACAGCAGGGATAATAGAAGAAAAGCCTGGAGCTTTCATGAGGAAGTGTTGGAGAAAAGAAAGATGGGTCATGTCCAGAGGACCCAGTAGTCGACTTGAAAAAGCTGCCAGGGGCCAAAGCTGGAATGATTTGAGCTACAAAATAATGTTAATGATGGATTGTAATCCAAAGGATATAAAATAAGTATCTCTGAGTCTGTAACTAAATAAAGGGCTAGACAGACAACAGAGGGAGAAGAGAGAGATCTTCCTTAGGGAAGAATTCCAAGTAATAAATGTAGAAGGAATGAGGGCAATAGAAGATCACCCATTAGAACATCATGGTGGTAATTGCTGCAGGTAAGACGCAATGACAGATGTGAAAATAAGTGTGTCAAACTTTAGGGAGCCACAGGATACTTGCACACCGTCAGAGTGTCTCCCAAATATTAATTACTGTAGTAGTTGTAACCTGTCTGTAGATTGTATAGTATTCCTCCCTTCAAGGGTACAGCTTAAATCCTCTTCTCTGTGAGCGTGCCCTGGACTTTGCGACCCACTTTTAAGGCATATGTAAAGGAGGAAAGTGTTAACTTCTCAGTGGTGACACCTGGCAGAAACCACCTGGGCCAAGAGATGAGGGTCCATGTCACTGAGAGTAAGTTGTGCCAGTGCTGTGTACTCCTGACGTGATGTGACGAGGAAGGCAGTTTGCCCTGTGATATTCTAGATCCTTCCCACGTATCTGTAACGTCAGTCCAGTCATTAGGCAGAAAGGATAAGGCGTCCCTCACTGAGGAACATTCTACAAAATGCTGACCGACGCTCTTCCATAGTGTCCAAGTTATGACACACAGGGGACCACTGAGGAAGGTCAGAGCTTGGAGGCGATGGGGGGGTGGGGGTGGGGGACGAGATGAGTGAGTGTAGCACAGGTAGCCTGGGTGGGTGCCTGGAAAAGAAAAAGGATATGGCGGAACCGGTGAAACATGAATGAAGCTGGAGGTTCAGTTAGTAGTAAGGCCCTGTGTTACTGTCTTCGTTTTGATAACTGTGCTGGTGATGTTGGTGGAAGCTGGGTGAAGGGCGTGTGGCGGTGCTGGGGGTGGGGTGGGGGGCTCTGCAACTCCTCTCTGATCTCAGCTTGTTTCCATATTCACTTCAAAAAAAAAAAAACAAAAACCTTGACTCCTTATCCTGGATCGATCATCTGCTTTATGTTGAGCATCTAGGCATTTTTTAAATAACTCTTGGTCCCATTTATATTGGGAGGAAAATGTATTGATTTGCAAACTAAAGTTGACTTTGGAACGTCCATGTTGTTAATACTAGTTATTTCTCTTTCCAGGGGAGGCACCTGTGGCAGAAGTTTCCTCCTCTTTTGTGATCCTGTCTGTGTGCAGTTTAATGATACTAATAGTATTAATCGCAAACTGTGTATCCTGCTGTAAGGACCCGGAAATAGACTTCAAGGTGAGCACAGGTGGTGGGGACGTTTAAAAACCATCCTCTGATATATTGATCAGTAGAGTGCATATCACAGTCCCGTGGGAGCAAGGCCGGCCAGATCTGTGTGTAAGGGCCACACAGTGAATATAGCCTGCCAGCGTAAATAGTAATACTGTGGGCTGTGTGGTCTCTGTGAAGGCACCTCAGCTCTCAGCTTGCCGTTGTAGCGCTGTGTTGCTAGAGATACGAAAGATAAAACCAAATGGTGTGGCCGTGTGCCAGTAAAGCCACAAAAATAAGCGGTTTTGGAATTGGTCCACCAGCTGCAGTTTGCTGACCCTGCTTTAGAGCGTCATTGACAGTAACCACTTGCCTGTTTAATTTTCCTAAGTGAGGAATAAGGTATGATTGAATTTACTTGCTATAATAGCCTGTAAGGAAGAGCAGGCTGGTTTCTCCCCCTAAACTTTGTTTGCTGGTGAATTTGTGCTTGTTAGGATCATTGAGGCCAAGGGACCCCCAGTGTGTTTTGTGTTTGAGAAACCACAACTTTCATTTTACCTGAACCCTCTGGTTCTTTGAGGGGGAGAAAGAAGAGCCCTACCAATTATAAATCGTGGTGTGGGGGGACGCGAAGGAGAGACACTATAGAAGGGCTGGTGTTATAGCTGCACATGGGTAGAATCTGCCAGAAACCAGCTGGGCTGTCCAGCTCTGGAACTTACCGCGTGCCTGCTGGTGTACATCTGGGCTCCGTGAATACTTGTTAAAGAGGAAGACTTGAGAAACAAAAGGAAGGCACACAGAGAAAATGACCCTTACTGCGGAGCCCCGCTGGTTGTCCTCGAGCTGTCTGCAGGGGTCCTGAGGGCCACTGGTTCAAACTGGAGGGAAAAAGCTGTCTTCTAGCTAAAACCTTCCTTGGACACATCAGCCTTATTTCTAGAGCCTCACCCCTGTTTCTGTGTTTTCTTTACCTTGAGTCTGATGGCAGCTCCCAGAGAGGAGGAGATGTGGTATCCATTTGGCTCAGTGCTAACATTACACACCAGGAAGGCTGGAGGGAAAGACTAGCGCAGGCCATTTTCCTTAGAAGATTCTACCCCAAACGTGTAGGGCTTAACTTATTCAGAGCATCAGCGGCCAGGCCTTGGAGTCACTGCAGACGATTCCGTGGGAACTTGATACATATCCACACAGGGGCACAGTGGTGGGCAGAGAACCTCTGTCCCTTGACCGTCAGTCTTCCCGAGTATAGACGCCTTGCCATGTACAGACGCCTTGCCTTTTGGGGACAAGGATGAAGTCTGATCAGTGTTGCTGAAACTAAAATCCAGTCTCTCTCATGTGTCACAATGCCTCATTTTTGCCTTAGATTGTTCTGACCCAGCTGGGTCTCAGCATTGACCCAGGGAGTTTATTCTGACATAGGTTCTGGGAAATAGTGTTTTTACCAGGCTTCCCCAGGCAGTTCTGGTACAGGTGGCCCTGGGACCACAGTGGGTAGAGGACCCCCTCCAGCTGTGTAAGCCGTGACTGAAGATGAGTGTCCACACCTTTAGATTTAGAGCTGCAGTGTTACAGACCTTCGGCCCTTGGGAGCCCACTACAGAGCAGGAGGCTACAGCCTGATAAAGGACATGCCTGCCTGGGCAGCAGCTGGCCTAACTAGAAAAGCGGCCTTGTCTTCTCACCAGCCCCATTTTTATTATAATGCTGTTTACCTCCCCAAGTCTTTAGGGTCATCAACTGCCTCACGGTGTGTTGTGCTGCTGCCAGACTTTCCGGTGGCGTTGGTGTTAAGTAGGAGCGATGGATAAAATGTCTTTTTTGTAACGAGAGAAGCTTTAGGAATGTTCAAAAGGAAACTGAGCAAAGCTCTTCCATTGAGAGGTGCCTCACAGATTGAAGTTCAGCACCTCGTTGCTCCTACGCCCTCCCCCCCTTAAAAAAAGCAGTAATGTCCTAATGCATTTGACAGCAAAGGTGACATATGTGGGAATAGTGTTCTCCCACATGCATGTGAGAACATACGTGTCATATCAGAGAAATTGACCCGTATAACTTCTAGGGGCTTAGTGGGGATAGCAGGGGCAGGTGGTTAAAAAAGGAAAAGGAAAAGGCTATTCTCTGGAGGAAAGGACAACTGTCTTGCTCATGGATCTGTTCTCAGCTTCTGTTATGGTGCTTAGTGGGGTGATACTCATTATCTGAGTGAATGAATGACCTTTATCATCATCTGATGAATGTTGAATTCACACGGACACCAGGGTAGACCGAGCTCACTGGAATGATGATAGCAAGAGTCAGGGCAGCTCTCTGCTGAACGGAGTCACTGAAAAGATGTTCACCCCTGTATGGGCGCAGCCTTGGTTTTAAAGCCACCGTCTTCAGCAAACCAGTCATTCTTGGTGTGCTGAAGGTACTGACATGCCGCACAATGCCATACCGGCCGTCAGTCACGCCCTGGCGGTTTGCCCAGTTCAGTAACTCTCCCATCGTTCCTCTTTGCAGAGAAATAGGACTTCCTCAAAAATATCTTTTCTGAGTCTTTAACTGTCTTTATTTTGATGGAAATCATTGTAGATTGCCATTAGAAATGTGTATATAGTTTTAAAATAAAATGGATCTGTTTTGATTCAGTATGCAAAGGGATATGTGAAAATGAATAATAAAGAAAAAAGAAGAGTGTGAGCTCTAGTAACTTAAAAGTAAAATTTCAAACCAGAAGAGTGTTTCCACTTGAAGTTCTGTGGTCATTTTAGAAAATGTTGCATTTAACATCAAGCTATCAGTTGAAAAAGTTTAAAGTATGTACAATTTATTTTTAAACCTTATTTATTCTGCTGTTTGGTGTTGGAGAGCACAATTACATATGCTTTTTACTTAAGTAGGAAAAAAACCAAGGCAGCATGTTTCAGATGAGTGAATGAATGTTCACGTCTCAGATGTTAGCGTATATCTTCTTAATCGTTGCTCTCAAACTGGTTTATAGACGATATAACACTGGTCATCTTTTATTTTAGGAATTTGAAGATAATTTTGATGATGAGATCGATTTCACACCACCAGCAGAAGACACTCCCTCAGTTCAGTCCCCAGCAGAAGTTTTCACACTTTCAGTACCAAATATCTCACTACCAGCTCCGTCACGGCTCCAGTCTTCTGTAGGTAAGGCCTTGCATCCGGCTTCATGTTTCCATGGATCACTTCAGAGCGGTGAGAGTGGGAGCCTTGATGCTAACTACCTGGTGAAGTACCTGGGTCGCCGGTCTCGTCTGCTCGCTCCTCTCTCTCTGTTCCCTGGGGAAGCTGAATGGTGGTGGGGCCCCTCATGCCTGCAGGAGCTGAGCTTTTTCCTTCTGGGCCCTTGATCTGCTGTGAGAACACACTGGCCGCCTCTGGTCACTGCATGGAGCTCTCACACAGAGCTCCTGGCCTCCACTTGGGGAGGCTTCTCTACTAGCTCTTGATGCTGCTCGCCTGGCTGCCGGGCTGAGTAGGACGCTAGCCTCTTTCCGGGGTGTCCTGTGTTCGGGGAGGAGGGGTACATTTGGATATGTTAATTGGATTGACTTTTCATCCTAACATAGAGGTTTGGTTAGAGGCTGATTGACTTCTTGTTGTAAAACAGAAATACTAGCAATTCAAGAGTCAGGGATTTCTGAAGCTCCTGGGAGAAGGCTCTTCTGTCTGTTAGGTGCTGTTCCTGCATTCGTGGTGCTATGCACGGTGGTGCGGGTGTGGGGCCGTGTGCAGCCTGTAGTAGATCGGGCTGCTGTAGGCATGCATGACTGAAAGGGAAGTCAGGCGAAACACGAATAGTGGTACATTTCATAGAAAACATTTGTGAGGTTAAGTAAATTTAGTATTGGCAGTGTTGGCAACATTAAAAAACTAACACGTAGTGTTTACCTTTTAATTTTTGTAAATAATCATACTCTTACTTTGACCAAATAGTGAAATTTAAAAGGCGTCTGACATTGGGATATCCTGAGGATAACCTAAGTAACCTAAGATATGTGTGTATTTATAAATGGAAAGGTTTTCTCCTGTCTTTGCTTACGTGGTAATAGGCTTTCCTTTATACTTAAGGGAAGCCCTGACAGAATTCTCTAGGGCCTTTTCCATCCTGGAGTCTTAATGCCCGTGAATCAATTTCAAGTAATAGAATCCTGACTCAGATCAGTGTACATAGAAAGGGGACTCTCTGGATGCTTGGAACCAGGCGATGGGAAGGGTAGGGATGAGGCAGACCTTAGAGACAACTGGAGCCAGGAACTTGGACACCATCACACCTTTCGTCCATCCTTCACTCCTGAGGACTCTTTGTGTGTTGGCTTAAATCCCGCACACTGGCTTCTCTCCTCACCTCGGAGCGGGGCTGCTGCCAGTTCGGGTTCAGAGCCTTGCTCCCGGAAGAGAGGAGCGTCTCTCTCCTCGGAAACCTCCGCAGAGGTGTTCTGGTTGGCTTCCCCCGAGTCTTATGATGTTGACCCCTCATTGTGAGCAAGAAGGCGTGGCAGAGAAGGGCCTGATGACTTCTGTCCAAGACATAGCGGGGAGGGACCAGAGACCCGCAGTGTAGTGACCTAGACAGCCATTCTCATTATGTTTGTACCCCTTTCTGCGTTTCTGAAGCCCTCTATTCTAAATTCCTTTTTTTTTTTTTAAGTTTATTTATTTATTTTGAGAGATCGAGACCGTGGAAATGGGGGAGGGGCAGAGAGATGGAGACTGAGAATCCCAAGCAGGCTCTGCACTATCAGCGTGAGCCCGATGCGGGACTCAAACTCATAAACCGTGACATCATGACCTGAGCTGAAGTGAAGAGTTGAACGTTTAATTGACTGAGCTGCCCAGGCACCCCAAAATCCCTTCTTACTAGGGAGAAATTATTTTTAATTTCTCTGCATAGAGACTATTCTGCGTAGAATAGTTCCAGAATATTTCTGTGATCTTGGGATAGAAGAGGCCTATCCAAGCTTGACACCAAATTTAGAAACCATAAAGAAAAATATTGGCAAATTTTATTCATAAAATGGAATATTCTGTATGATAAAAGACACCATAAACAAATTTGACAAAAGTAGCAAAAATATTTGTAAACTACAAAAAAAATCTAGAAAACCTTGTTACGTATTAATATATATTAAGGTTACAAACAAACATAAGACTAACAGTTCAATAGGCAAAAATAGGTCAAGGATATAAAAGAAATTTATGAAAAGAAACTCAAATGGCCAATAAAAAATGGAACATCACTATTAATTAAAGAAATACAAAGTTAAAGTAAGATGGTAACAGCTTGGGGTGCCTGGGTGGCTCAGTCAGTTAAGCGTCCGACTTCAGCTCAGTTCATGATCTCACAGTCCGTGGGCTCAAGCCCCGCCTCAGGGTCTGTGCTGACAGCTCGGAACCTGGAGCCTGCCTTGGATTCTGTGTCTCCCTCTCTCTCTGTCCCTCCCCTGCTCGTGCTCTGTCTCTCTCTCTCAAAATAAATAAACGTTAAAAAGAAAAAAGATAACAGCTCAACAAAGAGAAGAGGGGGAGAGGGGTGATGTGTGGGAGATAGGCACTTGGACACTCACTGCTAGCGGGACTGTCAGTTGATAGAGACATTCTTTCCCAAGGGTACTCTGACAGTATGTATCTGTGTTTACTCTTGATCCCACCGTTGCACTCTTAGTAGCTTATTTAGGTCAGTAGGCAAATAAATATCTACAAAGGAGTTTATTGCAGCATTGTTTGGCAGTGGAAACAGATTAAATGTCTGTCAGTATGGAACTTGTTAAATGGTGATAAGTCCATAATGTGGAGTATTATGTAGTCCTATAAAAGGATGAAAGATACTTGTGACGTATTAAGTGAAAAAAGTACATCGCATATTCAAAAGCAAGTCTGTTAGAAACTATACACTTTTTCCTTTTTTTTCCTTTTTAAAATGTATTTTATGGGGCGCCTGGGTGGCTTAGTCGGTTAAGCGTCTGACTTTTGCTTAGGTCATGATCTCGCGGTTCGTGGGTTCAAGCCCCACGTCGGGCTCTGTGCTGACTGCCAGCTCAGAGCCTGGAGCCTATTTTGGAGTCTGTATCTCCCTCTCTCTCTGACCCTCCCCTTCTCATGCTGTCTCTCTCTCTCTCTCTCTTTCTCCTAGAAATAAATAAAAATATTTAAAAAATGTATCTAATTTTTTGAGTAGATAATATAGTTATACAGTTCAAAATCAAACTGTGAAAAGGTACAAATAGTGAAAAGTCTCTAATCTTTGAACCTGACCTCAGCTCCTACCCCCAGGTTCTGTACCTAACCACTCTTCTTGGTTTCTTATACATCTTTCCGGACTTTCTTGGTATAAATATTCCCATTTACCCACTGCCTCCCCCCAGCACACTCTTTTTTCACTCATAGGTGGCATGATAAAAAAATGCTGCCTTTTTTCCCACTTAACAGCTAAACCTTAGAGGTATTTCTGTTTGCATAAAAAGAGCTTATTTATTCCTGCTTATAATTTATACTATTAAGGGGCACCTGGGTGGCTCAGTCAGGCACCCAACTTTGGCTCAGGTCATTGATCTCATGGTTTGTGAGTTTGAGCCCCACATCGGGCTCTCTGCTGTCAGCACAGACTGTGCTTTGGATTCTCTCTGCTCCCCCCCTCCCCTGCTCATTCTCTCTCTCTCTCTCAAAATAAGTAAACTCGTAAAAAAGATTATACTATTGAAATTGTATGGACTGAGCACAGTTTATTTAACCAGCCTCCTAGTGATGGATATTTGGGTTGCTTCTAATCTTAGGCCATTAAAAATAAAGGTTTTACCTATGTTGGTTTGCACATTGGTGTTGGGCTGGTGTATTTGTAGAATACATTTTCAAAAGTGGTCAGAGTGCATGTGTTTAGAATTCCAAGCGATATTGCCAACTCACCCTCCACAAGGAGCTGTGCTCATTTATGTCCCTGCTGTCTGAGGTTCAGATGGTCTGTGCTGCTGGTGAATCTAATGTGGTACCAGTTCAGATTAGCTTGTTATAAATTTAGGTGATAATTGTAATCTCCATGGTAACTACTAAGAAAATAACTAGTAAATATGGAAACAGAAAATGAAGAAATCAAAATGTATATCAAAAAAGTTAAGTATACACAAAATAGAATTTGTTAATGCTTCGTGATTTTAATATAGCTAAATTTAACAGCTTTTTAAGCTGGGAATTTTGCAGTCTCGTTTTTTAATTTTAATTTCTAAAATTAATTTTATTTATTTATTTTTAGCGTTAGAGCTTTTTTATGTCTTAAGAAATCTTTTTCCATTCTGTGATCAAAATGATACTTAACTACTTTTTTTTCTACAATGTTTTAAGGTTTTACTTTGTTAAATAATCCATAGCCCATCCTGAATTGATTTTTGGGTATGGTGTTAGGGGCTCCGAGTTTGTTTGCTTTTTTTTTTTTTTACAGATAACTGTGTTTTCCTCAGCTTCATTCACTGAGCGGCCCTCCCATCCTTCCCTGCAGTTTTAGTTCCATGTGTGTGTGGGTCTGTCGTCGGCTTTCTGTTCTATTTCACTAGTTTGTCAGTTCCTTGTTCCACAGTCACACTGTCGTAATTATAATAGCTTCATAATAATGATGTGATTTGCACATTTTTCTCCCTGTTGGTTTTTTTTACTCTTGCAATAGTGTCCTTTGATACGCAGAAGGTTTTAATTTTGATGAAGTCCAGTTAATCTGTTTTTTTTTCTTTTGTTGCTTGTGCTTTTAGTGTCCTACATAAGAAACTTTGTCAAACTCAAGATCATGAAGATTTACGCCAGTGTTATCTTCTATAATCTCTATAGTTTTAGCTTTGAAATTTGCATTAATATTTGCATATGGTGTGAGGTGAACATCCAGGTTCATTCTCTTACAGGCAGCTAGCTAGTTGCCCCAGCATGATTTCTGAAGAGACTGTTCTTCTCCCATTGAATTATCCTAGGACCTTGTTGACTATTAGTTTATCATATTTGTGTGGGTTTATCTGGGGACTCACGATTAATTCCATTGATCTGTGGTCTAGCCTTATGCCAGTACCACAGTTTTGGTTATTGTAGTTTTGTGGTAAGTTTTGGAATTGAGAAGTTTATGAGTCTTCCAACTTTGTTTTTGTTTTTTTGGGATTGTTTTGTTTTGGCTATTCAGAGTCCTGTGCAATTCCATATGATTTTTAGGATCAGCTTTTCCATTTCTGCAAAATAGGCCATTGGGATTTGTATGTGCATGTATGTACCATTTTGGTTCCCTTCTCATTCCCTTTCATTTATATTTTGTAGGAATTTTCTTGGGGTTACAGTTATCTTAAATTTATAACAGTTGTATTTCAGTTGATACCAACTTATCTTCGATACCATATAAAAACTGCAACTCAGTCCCGTCCTTTTATATTATCACAAATTACATGTTCATACATTGTATGCCCATTAACATAGATTTGTCATTTTTTTATGTGTTCATCCTTTAAATCGTGTAGGAAATAAAGAGTATATGCACATGAAAAATACATTTATGCCGACTTTTATATTTACCAGTGATTTTTATTTGGTCATGTGGCTTCCAGTTATGCTTAGCATCCTTTTATTTTAGTCTGAAGGACTCCCTTTAACACTTCTTGTAGGGCAGGTGCAGTGGTAGCTGTCTCCCTAAACTTGTATTCATCTGGAGGTGTCTTAATTTCTCCTTTGTTTTAGAAGATGTTTTTGCCAGGTTGACGGTTTTTCTCCTTTGGCACTTTATATGTGCCGTCCAACTGCCTTCTGGCCTCCATGGTTTCTGATGAGTAATCAGTTGTTAATCTTATTGAAGATCACTTGTATGTGATGAGGTGCTCCCTTTTGCTGCTTTCAGGGTTCTCCATCTTTGGCTTTTGGCAGTTTGATTATGATGCATCTCAGTGTGGGTTTCTTTGAGTTTGTCTTAGTTGGACTTTGTTGATTCATGCCTTTTATCAGATTGGGACATTTTTAAACCACCGTATCTTCAAGTATTCTTTCTGACCCCTTTCCCCTCTTTTTCTGGGACTCTCATCATGCATGTGAGTGTCCACTTGGTGGTGTCCCATGAGCCCCTTAGCCTTTGCTCATTGATTGTTTTTTTTTTTCATTCTTTTTTCTTTCTACCTCAGCCTGGATAATTTTATTTGAACTTGCTTTAAGTTCACTGATTCTTCTGTCTGCTCACATCTGTGGTTGAACCCCTTTAGTGAATTATTTTGTTTCAGTTATTATACTTTTCAGCTGCAGATTTATATTTGGCTCCTTTTACTAATTTGTATCGTTATTGATCTTCTCCACTTACCGGGACATCGTTCTCCTGGTTTCCTTTAGCTCTTTGAACATGTTTAAGACGATTGATTTAGGGGCGTCTTGGTGGCTCAGTCGGTTAAGCATCTGACTTCGTCTCAGGTCATGATCTCGCCGTTCGTGGGTTCGAGTTCTGCGTCAGGCTCTGTGCAGGCAGCTCAGAGCCTGGAGCCTGTTTCAGATTCTGTGTCTCCCTGTCTCTCTCTACCCCCTCCCCATGCTCTGTCTCTCTGTCTCAAAAATAAATAAACTATTTTTTTATTTAAACAGAGACAGAGCATGAGTAGAGGAGGGGCAGAGACAGAGGAAGACACAGAATCTGAAAAAGGCTCCAGGCTCTCAGCTGCCTGCATAGAGCCCGATATGGGGCTCCAACCCATGAACTGCGAGATCATGACCTGAGCCGAAGACGGATGCTTAACCGACTGAGCCACCCAGGCACGGCCCCCCCCTTTTAAATAGTTTTTAGATAAAAATTAAAAAAAAAAAAAAGACGATTGATTTAAAGTCTTGTCTAGTAAGGCCACCGTCTGTTTTCTCAGGGACTCTTCCTTTTACCTTTCCTTTGTACCTGTGAGTGGGCCATATTGTCTTGTTTCTTTGCATGTTTTGTAGTTTTCTTGTTGAAAATTGGACAATTTGAATGATATGATGTGCACAGAAGAAAGGAAAAGAAAAAAAGTACTCTGTGGGTCTTTGCTGATTAGCTCTGTGTCGATTCACTCCTTCCCCAGGCCTCTTACAGCTCTGCTGGAGTCCTCACCTCCTGCTTGTGCAGGGCGTAAAGCCTAGCTGGAGGTGAAAGTTATATTCTTTTTACTGTGAGTGTGTGTCCTTCCCTGAGCGTGCAGGGCCTCTCAGCCTTTCTCCATATATTTGAATAGCTTTTCAAAGCCCGTCTCCCACTCCACCTCTGCAAATCTCACTCCCCAGCTTTTCTGCTAAAGTTTTCAGCCTGTCTGTTGTTTACCTTAGCTGTTATTTCTTTTACCCCAGGTGGACGTGTCTTGTCCGTTTGGCTTTCGCTATTTTTGAGGAAATCCATCCTGATAGAATTCTGAGTTTGGGGAAACCAAGGGAAGCCATTTGTGGTAGTCCTTCAGTGAAACCTCTGGTGAAAAGAAACACAGTTCCACAGGACCTCAATCAGGCCCACCGTGCTCTCATGGGAACGTGTGTGGTCATTATGACTGCTGCTGCCTGGGGGGGCTGGGAGTGGGTGGGGCCATCATAAATTAAAGACACAAAGAAATTGTGCCCTGTTTCAATGGCCTTTCTCCTGGTTTGATTTGGTTGCTGTAAATCTTTGTCTTTCAGAATTCTGATAAGGTTGACAGTGATGGTTTTTGACAAGGTACTCACTTCTACCCTGGAACTAAGGACTAAGTAAAAGCCAATGGAATGGTGATCAGTAGGAGTTAGAGTAGAGTAGGTTAGATCAGAAAACACAGTGCCTGGGTGTATGGGTCACTCCGTTGGTTAAGCATTGACTCTTGATTTCAGCTGAGGTCATGATCTTGCGGTTCGTGAGTTCAGGCCCCACGTTGGAGTCTGCACTGACTGTATGGAGCCTGCTTGGGATTCTCTCTCTCTATGCCCCTCCCCTGCTTGCATGCATGCTTGCTCTCTCCCTTGCGCGTGCTCTCTCTCAAGCAAACAAACAAAAAGAAAACAGTGCAAAGTATTCAAGAATCAGGGTAGGAAACTCATTCAAGAAAATATTGTCAGTTTTGGGGCGCCTGGGTGGCTAGTCGGTTGAGCGTCCGACTTCGGCTCAAGTCATGATCTTGCGGTTCGTGGGTTCGAGCCCCGCATCGGGCTCTGTGCTGACGGCTAGCTCAGAGCCTGGAGCCTGTTTCGGATTCTGTGCCTCCCTCTCTCTCTGATCCTCCCCTGCTCATGCTGTCTCTCTCTCTCTCTCAAAAATAAAAATAAAATATTAAAAAAAATATATTGTCAGTCTTAAAACTTGAAACTGTTTTGTCAATATTAGTTTGAAAGTGATGGTGTATAAATATATATATATGAGAATTTCTACTTTTATTTTCTACCTTTGTGTTGATAAGCTTTAACTTTATGTTCATGTTTGTACTTTAGATCATGTATTTAGTATTTGTTTTATTTCAGTTAAATGCCCACATTTAGTTTTTATGTTCTTTTTCCTACAGAAGGTTTGAAGTCCCAAGTTGCCCGCCACAGTCTAAACTATATACAGGAAATTGGAAATGGCTGGTTTGGAAAGGTAAAATGTTCATGTTTACTTTTTTTCCCCTTCCTAGTAATAGTGTTTGGAATTTAAAGCTAATTAAGAATTGTACTGTATGACATTGCACGTTCTCCTTGGGTGCTATGGTACAGACTGAGTCCCCTCATTATGCCCTGAAGCTGGCCCCAGGAAGATAAACGTCAGCATGTCTAGGTGGATACATTTTTCCAAGAAGGTCTTTAATTTATATATCAGATGCTTTTCTAATTGTTGGTCTAAGGACATTAAGAAGGGAAAAGAGACTGGAATTTTGGAAGCTTTTTATTCTCCTCAAGTTAAATTATTATTATTATTTTTTTCGTTCACCTCCCTTTCTTCCTGCCTTGCTTGTGATACAGAAACACTTTACACTTGTTGATGCACAGTATTATTATAGTGAAAACCATGACAGAGGACAGTTCTCTGTTCCTCCTGACCTGTCAAGGGACGAATAGTAACAATTTCTTGTTGCTCCTTTTATCAAGGGGTGCTCAGAAGTACTGATTTTGTTATAATGGCTATTTCCATGATGTAGCTAGCAGTCATTCTGGGTACAAGGTTCCTAACTGAGTGGTGGTCGCCTCATCAGTAGGGTGGGCAAGACGAGAAGATGTACATGCTCACTGTTAGGCGTCTTGGCGCTCCGTCAGAGTTGTTTGTCAGTCCTGTATCTTTGATGTCATCCCGCCTTTATTAGTCACTGAATCTTCTAAGCCATATAGCAAAACCTGTTATGTATGGCACATTGTTCTCGGCACGGAGGGTACAGTGTGGGGGAGGATGGGTGATGTCCTGACCTGCGTGGAGTCTACGGGTGTGGCGGCAAACGAGAGGGAACCCTTGCCCCGACGAAGCTTCAGTCGCTAGCTGAGGAGAATGTGTGGGGGGATCAGACAGTAAACAGTCGGGAGTAGGAGATGGGCCTAGAGGGGTGTGTGGGAGCCAGGTGATGGGAGACAGTGTATGCATTCAGAGACTTTTACATGGAGTGAGAGGGAGAGAACTCGGGCGTCCGAGACCTGAGTAATGTAGTCTGGCTTCCCTTTACAACGATCAGTTACTTTGTAGAGGGCCAAGGGGAAAGTGGAGAAATTGCTTAGAAGGCCGCTGCAGTCGTACAGGCGAGATGGAGGCAGGCTTGGACCTGGATGATAGCACAGAGTGGTGACAAGTGGTGTGAGCCAAGATGGATTTTCACATAAGAGCATGCGGGACTGGGGATGGATCCGATGTGGAGTCTGGGCTGGGGGTGAGGTGGGGGAGGGGGAGGGTCAAGGACGGCTGCCTGTGGCCTGATTGGTGGGAGGAATAGAATTGCTGTCCAGTGAAATGGGAAAGATTAAGGAGAAGCAGGTGTGGAGGAGGAAGTCAGGAGTTCGCTTTTGGGTAGGTTGGGTGTGCGATGGCTCGTAAGCATCCAGAAGGAGAGATCGGTAAGCATTTGGAAATACACATCTAGAGTTCAAGGGTGAGGGTCCAGGCCAAAGACAGACATTTGGGAGAAGTGAGTGTATAGCTGGATTTCAAAGGGAAGAGACTAGATGGAATCACTGAGACCGTGAATGTGGGGAAAGGGAGACACGTGGGGCCTAGGCCCTTAGGGTCTGGTCGGGAGGGGTCAGCGCAGTCAGGGACAGCCAGTGATGGGAATGGAGGTAATTGGTGGGAGGGAGCGGGTGTAGGAGAGTGGGGTGTTCTGAGGGTCGAAGAAGGAGACCCAAGAAGATGAATGGTAGTGAATGCTGCTGACGGACTAAGAGAAGACTGGGACAAGTGGGACTTGGCCACGTGAGGTCCATGGTATTGTCAAAAGAGGCTGTTTAGGGGTCACGTCCTCACGCAGCAGGCGCACGGGAGAGTGGAGACGGCTTATTTAGACAGCCCTGTTGAGTTTTACTGTAAAAGGGAGCAGAGACGTGGAGTACGAGCTGTTTGGGACCATCCAAGGACCAGGGGAAGGTGGTTTTGGTTTCTTTGCTTTTTATAGGATGTGTAACTATTTTAGCCTCTTTACGCTATAGGGGAGAAAGTGATAATGCAGGAGAGAGAAAGGGGGAATACTGCAGGAGTTCTCTTGAAACGGGAATAAAAACAGCATGTGGATACAGGTGCTGGTGTCAAATGCGGAAGTCCACTTCTGGTTATTTTATTCAGTGAACAGGAGGCCAGTTTGAAAGGGAGGAGCACAAAGACACGTTGAGAGTTTGAACAGGTGGAGGAGGTGTGAAAGAGTCCTCCTGGGAAATCTATCAAGTAGGGAATGCGGTGGGAGGACGGGAGTGCTGAGGACCCTCACAAATTTGAAACGAGGCCAGTTGCTGTGGTCGTGTGTGTGGGTTTTGTCTACATTTGATGTTACTGTAGGCAGGTAGTTGAATGTAAGGAGGACTAGGGTTTGGCTGAGCTCCAGGGCCTTAGCAAGAGTGGCGAAGGGGGTAGTGATAGTGGAGGATCATGGACCCTAAGCTGCCAGGGAGGGGAGGGCTCCCTGTGGTCGGGTGGGTGGTGGAGTGCTGCTATCATGAATGGATCTGGAGGCCAAGTTGTGTGCTTGTTGGGTTAGATGGTTGAAGTGAGCTTGAAATCAGAGGATTGGTAGAGAAGGAGAAGTTAAAATTCAAGGTTTGGGGGACACCTGGGTGGCTCAGTCAGTTAAGTGTCTGACCAGTTCAGGAGGGCTCTGCTAACAGCGTGGAGCCTGCTTTGGATCCTAAGTCCCTCTCCCTCTCTGCCCCTACCCAATCATGTTCTGGGTTTTGGGCATGATCGTTATTAGCTAGGTGGAGTCATAATAGAAAAGAGTATTGGAAGGGAGGTAAAAAACCTAAGAGGTCAGAATGTTGAATGAATTGTCCCTGCTGACATTGAAGGCCAAGGATGATGGCAGTGGTGGTGGAGAGAAATGGCGAGATTATCCTCATCTTTATCTGAGGACTGTTAGGCTTATGATAGATGTACAGGGTAGTTATTTGAAACCAGGAATATGACTTGGTTAAATTATCCGAATTTCTTGTTCTTTTTCTGCCCATACATTCCTTAATAAACACAATACATGCTGTTCACGGTCTTATTCTCATTTTCCAGGGTATTAAAATTAATCTACTTGATAAAATATTAAAAACTATTTCAAAAAAAAGGCTTTTAGTTTTGATCATTCTTGAATTAAGTGAAAACTTTCGCTTCATCATCATTTTCATCTTAAATATTATATTTTTAGAACACTTCTGTATTGCCCATTATCTTTGGTATTCCGCTTGTACTGTGCTCTTGTTTTCATTCACTTTGTATTCTGTTCATTTCATATTTTCTCCTGTTTTAAATGAAGTTTCAGTACAAGATAAAGATCTGGAATAATTGCAATGCCATAGATTTTTAAAGTTACAATGCAATGATAATATGTTTGTACACTGCTGTTTGTCCCTTTACTTTCTCTTACGTGAAGGAGACAGAATAACAAAACCCAGCTGAAGTGTTTTGAGAAACATTTGAGTTCTGTTTGAACTGAACTTATGAATTACTCTTTTGTGATGTCACTGGTAATATTCGTGAAAGTATAGTACATTCTTAAAGAGAAAAACAGGATACGTAGATGAATGCTGTCAGTATCCAATAAACAGTTTAAGACAAGGAAAACATTTTCACTTCACAAGCTTTCCTGAGTGTTTTCATAATAGAGGGCCTTCTGATTATTGCTTAATTTATTTTCCTGGATTCCGTTTCCTGATAAATGAGAGCTGCTACTTTACCATTTTGATGGAAGTGAAATGAAAACCTGTTCTTTGGTTTTAGGTCCTCCTCGGGGAGATTTACACAGGCACTAGTGTAGCGAGAGTGATAGTGAAGGAGTTAAAAGCGAGTGCGAGCCCAAAGGAACAAGATGCTTTTTTGAAAAATGGCGAACCTTACTAGTAAGTAAACCTTAAGATGTGTTTTGTAAACATAGTCGGGGGTCTATTGAGGATCAGGTGTTTGAAACGACTTTGCAGTGTATCATATTTAAATTGTGGTGAATGTTAAAACTTCGATTACTGTCTGAACAGTTGAACTCGCTCGCTCCATGATGAACAAACACTATGACTTTTCTTTTCCCCAGTGTTCTTCAGCATCCAAATATTCTTCAGTGTGTGGGGCAGTGTATAGAAGCAATTCCCTATCTCCTGGTGTTTGAGTTCTGTGACCTGGTAAGTTTTTAGTGGAAATTCAAGGCCAAGCATTCAGAACGTTACATCCAGGTGTTTTTGACAGATAGAAATGCTGGATGAGGGACTGCTTTCACTTCTGTCCCCATTTTACAAGATGTACTTTACAAGCACATCTAGGATGTGCTAAGTCATTACCTTTTGAAAATAGTATTGATGGACACTTACGTCAGTGTTGTTTTTACACTCTATCCCTGTGCGGAGCTGTTTGCATGCATTTCATTTCATCATATTTATCTACACTTTCTATATGATTAAAGTAAGGCTCACGGAGATTGAGAAAATGTTGTTTAGAGCCAGAGCTTGGATCGAGGATTGCCCTTCCCAAGAGCTTGAGGTCTTGACTTCAGGTAGGCAGTTTGAAGTACCTTTCCCCAATAAGGTAATCTTACCTGTAGAGTACCTGTGACCTGTCAGGTTTTTCAAATAGTGAATGTACATGCCATTTATATTTTTAAATAATTAGATGATTTTTTAACCCAAAATTAATAGCCTCACTTCTTAGCATGACAGTGTTACTCACTGAGAGTTGTAAGTTGCAAAAGCTATGTTTGTACAGTTTTTATGAATACTAATTTTTATGTGTCAAGTTTCTGTAAACATCTGTTTTTAAAACCTAGGTTTTGATTGATTTCTTTGCATCATCTCAGTTTTCAGAACGTGAAAACATTAAGGTCGTGCAAAGAAAAGTGCGAGTGCTTTGAGATAAATCCCCAGTTAGTTCAGATAGTATTTTCAGCTGGCAGAGTCAAAACAGGCAATAGCCATTGTGGATTTTTGTTTTAATTCCAAAGTTCAATTTGAATATTACTCTCATTGGCAGCAGTAGTTAATTCCAAAGACAAATCAATAAACTTGATATATTAGCTTTCATTGGATTATATCAGAGTAACCCCCACGTCTCAGTGACTGGTAAAAAAGCAAAGCAGTTCTTACTCATCTTACACATCAGCTCTGCCCCCAGCTACATCCCTCTTCACCCTAGGATCAGTTATTATCTGTGGTTCCGGGAAGGGATGTATATTCTCGTATATTCTGTACAGGTGTATCTGTATGGGTCTTCTGGGTCGAGTTCATGAGGTTGTTCAAATCTTCTGTATCCTTCTGATTGCGGAGGGCATTGATAGAGGAGTCTGAGTCCGTTTTCTGTCAGTTATTAAGAGGTACAGTAGAATCTGCTCTGATTACAGATTTTCCTTATAATTCTAGTTGTATTTGCTTTGAATGCTGTGTCAAGGATACAAATTCAGAACTGATACAACGTTTTGTAATTTTAAGCTTTTGTTATTATGAAGGGACTCTCTGTAAGATTAAAAGCATGCTGAGGATTAAGTCTGATATTACTGATATTAATATTTATCCCAGTTATCCCAACCTTTTTTTTTGGTTAGAATTTGCCTTTGATTTACATTGCCTGAAAATAGCTTACTGTTAAAATTTTGTTAATCTGTCAGTCTTGATCACTTATCATGGAACATGTGTTCCGTTTACATTTATTGCATCTATGAGATCCTTGGAATTTTATGTACCTGTTTTGTATTATTCTTCCTACCTACCTGTTTCAATTTTTCTGTTTTATTCTTTTGCTAGTCTTCTTTTGGATTCTTTTTTTTGAGGGGGGTCAGTTTTTCCCACCTACTAGTTTGGATTTTAGATACTGTTCCTAGTTTTTGGTATGATTATACTGGAAGTTACAACATGCATATTTAATTTGACGAAGTCCAAAATTAATGTTTTAGCCCTCCTCCAAAGAAGCTGGGACCTCGTAGAGCTTTCCCTCCATGTGAGGACAAATGAAATCCCAACCTGCTTTTTTGTCCTGATCCCACCTCTTCCCCTGTCATCAAGGGAGCTGCTTTGTTGAACACCTGCTTTTGGAAGACCACTCCCCACGTGGATCTGTGGATCTGGAAGGAGAGCTGGGTCACTGTCCTCTAGGCCTCCTCGGTAGCAAGAGCAGACACGTGATCATTGTTAGTTAGCCTGATAAACAATTGAAGGGAGGCATCAGAACTAAGAGGAAGGCACACCTGATAACATTTCTGGTTATTTTGCTGCATTTATGTTTTGTTTTATTTCAGTATATCAGTCACGATATTTATGACCCTTGGTTATTACAGTATGAGAACAGCAAGACGGGGGATTCTTGTGCGGACAGCATTTGAGAAGGGCTGTGGTCTTGTGTCCCTATGTGAGGAGACAAGTCTGAACTCAGAGTTGTAGTTTTCTGAGACCCTTTATGGTGGCCCTTTTGGGTCCCCAAGCACTTGGTGTTTTTTTATAAATAACAAAACACACTTCCTGAGTGAACACAACAGAAATGCGGCAGGAAGCATATGTACTTGAAATACCACATTTCTGGGTTAATCACATTTAGTTTATAAAACTGTCTCAGGGCACCTGGGTGGCTCAGTCAGTTAAGCATCCTTCTCTTGGTTTTGGCTCAGGTCATGATCTCACAGTTTGTGGTTTCAAGCCCCGCGTCAAGCTCTGTGCTGACAGTGTGGAGTCTGCTTGCTATTCTCTCTCCCCCTCTCTCTCTGCCCCCTTCCCTGCTCACACACTTGCTCTTTCTTTCTCAAAACAAATAATAAACATTTTTTTAAAAACCTGACGTATCTCTTATATATTGGCATTTTCTATTCTTCACCCTCTGTCTATTCCTGGAAGTTTTATTAGACGTTGTTGTTGTTTTTCCTGGACCGGTAAAAGCTGGATGCTCAGCTGACAGTTGTCTTCTGAGTGGTTAAGGCCCAGGGTTTAGTTTTAGCGCTATTCTAATTCATTTTTTCACTAAGCTGCTTGTTCTTTTTGGGAGTAGTAGTTTAACCTACTTTATAAAGAAACTCAAACATTTCAAAGTTCACAAGCAGCTCCCTTACAATTACCATTAAAAAGCCAGAATTGACAAGATTCTTTGTCATTGTACATTTTAAAAGAGGTTTATTTTTGAGAGAGTGCGAGTGGTGAAGGGGCAGAGAGAGAGGAAGACCCAGCATCTGAGGCTGGCCCCAGGCTCTGACCTGTCAGCACAGAGCCTTACACAGGGCTCAAACCCACGAACTGTGAGATCATGACCTGAGCTGAAGTAGGACGCTTAACCGACTGAGCCACCCAGGTGTCCATCATGTAAATATAATAAATACATGCTTTTTGTTAGCATTCTTTTTATATAGGTTTTACCCAGTACTTTTAGGTCTCGTATTTAAAGGCATATTCTCCAAGTACTTAGACTGGATATTCAGAGAATAACTTACCTAAAGTTGTACTGGTTTCCATATTTTGGGGTGATGATTATGCATATTGCTCTCCAGAATTAACAAATAAAACTTTGTTTTAAATTTGTATACCGGTTCAACAAATATGACTCCTTGAAACATTTTATGTGAGCCTCCTAAGTCATCACGGGAGAATGTTCACTCCTGTAGGCTAGGTGTTTAGAGGGAGCCCTTCACCCCTCAATGGCTTTCATTGGCAGTGCAGAGCTAACAGCTATTGTTAATTTAGCTGCGCTGCCCAGACATTGATCAACAGCAAAACGTTAAAAACAGTAATTGTTTCTCAGAAAATTACAGGAGTTACCATATGACCCAGCAATTTCACTTGTAGGGACATATATCCAAAATCATCGAAAGCAGCATCTTTGAGAGCTGTTCACACACCCATTTCAGAACAGTATAATTCACAGTAGCCAAGAGGTAGAAGCAATTCAAGAGTCCCATCGGTGAATGAGTAAGTAAACAAAATCGAGTCTATCTATACCATGGAATATTAGTGAGCCTTAAATAGGAAGGAAATGCCAGCACCCACTCCAACACGGATGTACCTGAGGGCGTGATGCCCAGTGAGAGAGGCCAAACCACAGGAAGACAAGTGCTGTGTGGTTCCACCTGTGAAGTATCTACAGCAGCCAAACTCACAGAGACCGAGAGTGGGGTGGCGGCTGCCAGGGACTGGGTTGGGAGGGCTTGGGAGCGTGTTTAATGGGGACAGAGTCTCAGTTTGGGAAGATTAAAAGAGAAGGACGGTGGTGATGGCTGCACAGCAGGGTGAATGCTCTCAGTGCCCCTGAGCTGTGCACTTACTGGTGGTTAAGATGGTGGTGTTACGTTACCCAGTTTTTCCCACACTTGTGCAAATCAGTGATTACTTAGTTATTTAAGGTGCTGTCCCTGCTGTCCTCTGTGCTAGCAGGATGCTACTGCGCCCTTAGGAGATCGGCCAGTCAGTGCTCCGCGTGCCCAGTCTCCTGTCCAAATAGAGGCTGTTGACCCAGGGAAGCCTCCACCTTGCCTAGCAGTGAGGGGTCACGTTTGTTTCATTGGATAGTTTTGGGCTCATCACCTCTGGGCCCTAGTAAGCAGGGTCAGCAGCTCCAAAGTCCCCTTGTCCCGGCTCAGTATGTGCAGTGGCTCCGTGGCAGGAATGGTCAGGTGGCGTCATCCCAGTGAACCAAAGAAGGCACCCACCTGCGAAGGTGTCCCCCCAACACACCAAAGCCTCGCTTCAACGCTGAGCCCTGCTCCCCCCTGGACGTCCCACGGCCCTCCCTGAAATAGGCCATCCTGAGCAGTGGGGAGGCATCCGAAGCAAAAGTACCCGCTGGCAAGGATCCAGAGGACAGAGGGAGTAGTTTGCACTTGGTCATAAGCAGCTGCGGCCACAGTGAAAGGAGCCACTATCTTCATATGTGCTTAGTGGGTCAGGAGCTATTGAATGAACATTGGCCTTTTCAGTCGTCATCAGGTGGTGTTCATACTCGACGATAACATCTTTTAAATAGAAAAGAGAATATTTTTGCACTTAAGTAATTCTTGTGAGGTGGAATTACCAGTCTCTTGTTGAAAAGCACTTTATCTTTGAATTTTTATGAAAGAAAATGAAAAGACAGTGTGTCTGGTAGCTGGACTGTAGCCACCAGTTTGTAACCAGATGGTGCAGGTCTCTGGGGAGGAGAGGTGATTGTGGGGTGTCGTCTCCGG